CTTGTCTGTGGATTTCCCTGCGGACCTCGGGAGCAAGGCCTCAGGTGGCAAGCAGCTAGGAAACTAGACCTTGGCACCTTTCTGTCAAAACCCTGCTGGAGTTACACAGCAGCCCAGCCGGGCACTTTCTGGGTGGCGGTGGGTGGAGTTACTCACCGTGTCCGCAGGTGCAGTGATTGGAGAGCGCTGGCCTGGGGAAGGAGCTGGCTTCTGCCTGTGCGGTTTGGTCCAGGGCACTGGCCTGTTGTACACATTGGTAACCAACTTGGCTGGGTGTTATCAGCAGATTTCAAGGCTGCCTCTCCTCTCTGTGTTCCACTCACTGCTGGAGACCTCTCTTTTGGGGTTGGCGGGTGGTGTTAATGAGCTCCATGGGCCCAGCTGTTGGAGTTACAGGACTCTGAGAGCCTTGACCACGTTTGTGGGCACATCGCTGCACTGCCTAATTTATCTTCTTCAGAGTGTGAAGACCGTCAGATCTGAGCTCCCTATCTCAATATTTCTCTGCAAGTCTACCCCATACCTTTTTCTTCCCTCTTGCTTCAGAGCTCAGTTGTTCAGGTCCATGTTCAATGAGCACCTACTGTATGCCGGCAGTGTGGTCAGCGCTCAGTGGATGAGATCTTCGCTCCCTCCAAAGTTTATCCTCCCCTGCTGCTCCTGCCCAGGCACCTGAGCATCCTTTGCACCAGATCAGGATTGGGAATCTAGAGCCCATGGGCCGAATCTGGTCTGCCACCTGTCTTTGTAAATAAAGTTTTATTGGGACACAGTCACGCTTGTTTGTTTATGCCTCGTCCATCACAGGTTTTACACTGGGATGGAGGTTTAGTGTCTGTGATAGGGACTGCAAAACTGAAAATATTTACCCTCTGGCCCTTTACAGAGAAAGGCTGGGGATCCCTGCTGTAGACCCCCCACTGTCCTGCCTCCCTGTTCTCCAAGATCTCAGGCTGAGAATTGTCGCTGTCCATTTCCATGGGCTCCGTTCTCTTTGGTCCACCTGAGAGGCGGAGGGGGTCTGTCTCCCCAGGCACTGGTGGCCGTCCTGCTGGGGCCTGGGAGGGTACTGCACAGTCTTACAAAGGACCTGCCTGCAGGGTGTCCCTTACTGCCACTCTTGAGTCCCCTCTGGCTGTGCTCAGTGATGATGGGGGGAGCAGGCTGGGGGCTTCTGGCTGCTGTGGGGCGATGCTGTCACTTGCTAGATGATGACGGTGGGTTGGTCTCTCACCTGGTCCATTCCCTCAGCTTTCTCGTCTCTGCAGGGCGTGTGCTACCTGCTTCTGGATCACGGTGAAGGTGAAGCTGCCCAGCACCTGCTTCTCATCTGAACAGAGACAGAGGCTTTGTAGAATATAGATGCAGAGAGAAAGGAGCCCCAGGAAATGGAGAGGGGCCATTCATCTGGGAGCTAGGGCCTCCTTCCCACCCCTTCCTCAGGACCTGGGGTGGGTACTCATTCCTCTGAGAACTGCAGAAGGACAAGAGGCACACGGGGCTGACCAGAATGACTCAGAAGCTCAGAGGAGAGACCCATCTCTGGACCCCAGATTCCTGCACCCCAGTCCTGAGCCTTTGTCCCAGCTGGGGGCTGGGACGCGTGTCCCTCGCTGATGGTGGGCTGCAGAAGGCAGTGGCCACAGAGCTGAGGCACTTCCAGAAGCGCAGGTGCTGGGGGCCGGGTGGAGGAGGCCAGGCCGGTTGCTATGGAGAGAGAAATGTTATGCGGTTAACTTGTTTGACTGGCGGCCTTGAGAAATACCCATGTCCCCGCGGGGCCTGGGAGCCATCCATCATTCGGAAAGGCTCCTTTCATGATGAGGGTTATCTATTTGGCTAATAAAACCACGATCACAATCCCTTACATGCGACAGCCCTTCCCTTTCCGCACGTTTTATGGAGCCCTCTTCAGTTTATAAGGCGCCCGAGGCTTGGTTCTATGCAGCTCCGCCTCTGCCTAGTGACAGGCCTTTGGTCACACGCTGTGCGCCAGGCACAGAGAGGCAGGAGACGAGCCACATTGGCTCTTTCTTGCCTTTACGAGCTCTGCACACCCCTGGAAGATGAGCACCACCTTGTCTTCTCCAGCCAAGGAGGAGAAGGAGGGCCCTGCGTGGGTGTGCGGGGACAGTGGAGGTGGCCTCGGGCAGGGACGCCCCACCTGAGACGGGAGGGGAGGAGGCAGAGGACGGAGCTACAGGGGTGGTGCAAAGGACAGTGACAGTGACTGTGCATCTGCGGGGACCCAGGCACCGGGCCAGGCATCTGGCGCCCGTGGATTCATTCATCACAGCAGAATTCTTTGGGTAGCGAGCGACAGAACCACAATGCTCACCAGCTGGGACAAAAAGATGGTTATTGTCTCAGGTGCCCGGATTACAGGAAGGGCTGTGTTGACAGAGCATTCGGGGTCACTTTTTCACTCTGCGGGGGGACAGGCTGTCAGCCTCACCCTTTTGCCTTGGGGGATGGGGAGATTTTCTTCTTTTCTCAGCTGTGGTTTGAAGGATCCCAGGGAAGGACCCTGATGGGTTTGGACCTGTGCCTGTCCCCTGAGTCACTCAGTCCCTGTGGCCTAAGGCAAGGATCAGCACAGCAGGTGGCTGGTGGCTCCCACCTAACCTGAGCTAGAACGGGGATGTGGGGATGGAGTTGTCAGTTTCTAGGTCCAACATGATGTTATTTTTTTATTTTCAACAGAGATGGTTACTTACATTTTTGATTCACTGAGATGGAATCTTGCCCATTTGTAGGGGACGTGGTGGTCACTCTGGTAGCCCGGAAATGGCTCTGGATAGCCATTTCCGTCTTAGTGTTTCTTATTCATTTCACAAGATCAAATGAATTCCAGCCACAGGCTGGGGATTGCTTCGCCCCAAGACCACCTGGGATCTCCCTGCTGCCTGGAAACTTACTTTTCGAGGGGGATGGGGAGTAAACAAGCAGAGTGATACAATTTCACGGGGCATTCCCTGATAAGCGAAGCACAGAGAAACAACGTCAGGAGATCAGGAAGCGTGGGTGCTGGTTTTCATGGGGGTCATCAGGGGACAGACACGCTGGCCCTCCTCCCAGCTGAGGAGGCAGCTCAAGTGGAGAACTGTCTGACTTGACTCATGCCAAGATCTGGCAGAGGGAAAAGAATGTGTAAAGGCCCTGAGGTGGCGAACGAGCTTGGTGTGTTCTGGGAATAGCCAAAAGGCACTGTGGTGGGTGCAGCGTGAGCCAGGGAGGGCAGGGTGTCCGACAGGGTTAGGGTAGACAGGGTCAGATCACATAAGGCCACCTCTGCTGGCCATGGTAAGGAGTTTGGATGTTGTTCTAAGTGTGATCAGATGCCATCTTCAAGGGATGACCTTCTTCTCAGAGATAAATTGAGCTGCCGTGAGATGAAGTTGACTTTCTCAGGAAGGAAGGAAGGAAGGAAGGTCGGTCTGTCAGTCTTCTATGGTGAAACCACCACTTTGGAGTCACCTTGTTTTCTTTCTCCCATATAACGCACCTTCTTCTCGTAAGCTTTGGAGAAAAGGGGGGGGGTGGCAAGAAAAGAAAATGGGCAGAAGCTTGTGACCCTTCCTCCTGTAAAGTGGACAGATGACCTTCTGGGAGTATCGGGGAGGGAGGGTCCATAGGCCCAGCAGGGGTCAGAGACGCTGGTCCAGATGCAGAACCAACAGGTCATGCACAAGCCCAGGAGAGGCCAGGAGGAGGGCAGAGCTGCTGAACCCCCTGAGGGAAGGTGGAGGCCCTGGGTTCATACAGGTTTTCTCCAGCAGTACTTGGCAGATCCCTGGCCTGGGATGGGAGAGAGAGGAAGGAAGACCCCATGGATAACGGTGGGCATTGGGCCTCCAGGTTCGGGGGGAGGGGGACGGGGTGAAGCGCCGTCTGTGCATGCCCAGCCTTGTGCTTTGGTTTTCCTCGGGCTGGCCCAATAGGAGACTATTTTCCATTTTCCACAAAGATGGTTTAATTGATTGGGATTCACTCTTTTATACTCTTATAGGCTCTTACTTACAGATAGCATCCTTGTAATGGGCTGAGTTACAACTCAGGTTGGGTAGGTTGAGGCTTCTCTCCAATACTCCCATGTTGAAGTCTGAAACCCAGTGCTCACCGCGTGGCTGCAGGGTTGACTCTGTAAAGGTGGGTTTACGTTAAAGTGGGGCCAGCTCCGTGGGCTTCTGTCTGATCTGACTGGTGTCCTCCTAAGAAGTGGAAATTTGGACACAGAGACACCCAGGTGGCTCACACCCAGAAGTTGGTGAGTTTATCGCACTGGTTGTAGGTAGGTATTTCTAGGATTCCTTCCTTAAGTTGGCCTTCCCTGCTGGGTGTGGAGCAGAGGGGCGATCCTGGGTGGTAGAAGTGACGCTCCATTGGGCACAGAGGAAAGAAACATGGTGGACACACCGATGCAGGGAGGGTAGCTGGACCAGGAAAGTGAAGAGCAGGATTTCAGGAAAATCTAGGAGGAGATGCTGCATGGCTGGGAAAGACTTGACATTGATTATTTTTGCAGGAGTAACGGGAACGGGGTGGGAGGGGAATGTTAGCTCATTTGCCGCCTGCTACGTGCCAGGCGCTTTCCCATTTAATCCTTATAACAACCCTGGGACCAAGGATTGTTGCAGCTTGAGAAAGGTTGATGAGGGTTGGACATCTTTAAGAGGAGGCTGAGTGGTTGGCTGCTAAGAGGCCTCTGAGCTTGGCATGAAGTTGGTGAATTTATCGTAGAATAAATATGGCCAGCTCTGGCTCCTTGGGCTCCCCTGTCTCTGCTCCAGGCTAGGCATGCTTTCTGTGTTCACACCGGCTTTTGCCAACTGATTTAGTTAATTAGGTTTCTGCTTACTCCATTACCATCACCCCACCCCCCAGCCCAGCCGGCCTCCCTCCCTGTGACTATACCCAGGCCACCATGACTGGTGTTTGGGGTCTTCCCAAACTCTTTGGTCACATTTTCAGTTTTTTTTTCTCTTGGTTTGTGCCAACAGATGGCATATCTCCTCATTCTGCATGGATTTTGTCCACCTAACTCTCAGAGGGAAGTCTTCCAGCTTAACGGTCACTCCCACATATGGCTGACAGGTATTGTTTTCATTGCTTTGTAGATGAGGGGCCTAAAGCTCAGAGAGGTTAAGTCGCTGGCCCAGTAGAGCCAGGATTTTGGAGCCAGCTCTTCTGGCTCCCAAGGCTGGGGGTGGAGGGGTGGATAAAGGGCAGGAAGGTCAGCATTGCACAATCTCAGGGAATGGGAAGTTCTAGGCAGAGAATGTGTTGTGTTCTTCTTTTTAGGGTCCCCAAGACTTGGTCCACAATTGCAGTCAGTTCATCCCAAAGCTCCTGGGTCCTTTGAGTCATGTGCATGCTTGGCCAGAGCTGGACCACCGCTCTCAGAGCCAGGACAACTATGGTGGCCATCGTGGGAACTGGGTAGTGCTGCTGAATGTGGTTGGGTAGGTTGAGGCTGGAGGGTGGGGAGGGTTGAATTCCAGCCCACTTTCCACTCACCAACCTTTGCAACCTGGTTTGGAGTTGGCATAGTGTCTGGAGGAAGGAGCAGCTTCTCCCTTCCAGAAGAGGGCGCCATTTTGTAATTCTACCACTGGGGTGAGGAGTCTTTTCCTAATTCCCTTGAGCCTCTTTGTGGGCTGGAGGCTCTCAATGGTCCTTGTTCCTTTGCATATTCTGCTCACATTCCGAGGTGTAAGCACACATTCAGGTACTCCACCGTGTCCTCTGCAGGGGTCATCAGAAGCCATCTGGATACTCCCATTGACCCAGGAGTGGGTGGCGATCCAGCCCAGAAGTCATCTAGGTGGAATGTGGACAGAAGGACAAGAGCTCTGCAGACCCCTCCGGTGCCCCCAGGTTTCTGGAAAGCCCTCTAGGCAGCCAGCACAAGGTCAAATACTTCTGCACAGAGAATCCCTGCAGGGGGATTTGTTCCGGGAAGGGAATTACATTTCAATTTGATTTAATTCAATGAGAATGACACCAAATTGATCAGCTGGTAAAATGCCATTTGATGGGCAGATCTGCTCTTTCCAAGTCAATAGGAACCTCCAGAAAAATCAGTCTTGCTTTTTCAGACAGAACTGAAAGTTTTACCCATTTCCTTTGCCTTTTAAAAAGGGCTCAAATTCCTTGAAGGTGGAGGGCCTTTTCCTCATAGATTTAGGGACCTGAGCAAAGTAATTAACCAACAGGCACCCAGGGGACACACTGTGCAACTTCTGTATCAGGTTGTGTGTGTGTGTGTGTGTATGTGTGTCACATTAGTCATCTTGTACCAGACTTTCCTGTGATCTTGACAGATTTCTCAGTTTCTCTGGGTCTCAGTTCTACCATCTATAAGATGAGCATTTAGCCTCCCTTGGTCCTGCACTGGGCCACGTCCTTTGGAGCAATGGCACGAACAATAACCACAGTCCCCAACAACCACTGTCACGGTCCCAACAAATAGTCACTAGCATTATATTTTTGCTTTTTTTTTTTTTTGGTGCTGGCAAGTGTCAGGCAAGTACTCTGTCTCTGAGCCACAACCCCAACTAGTGTCATTCTTGAGCAGTTACTCTGTGCTGGGCACGATTGAAAACTTCATATGTTTTTATGGTTTGAGTATGAGGTGTCACCAAAATGTCCTACATCCTGCGTTAATGCAGGGATATTCAGAGTGAAATGGTTAGGCAATGAGAGTTGTAACCCAATCAGCCCTTTCTAATTCGATATAGACTGACTGGGTGGTAACTGCAGGTAGGTGGGGCTTGGCTGCTGGAGGCGGGTCACTGGGATCACACCGGGAAGGGTTCATCTTCCCTTCACCTTCCCCCTCCTTTCTTCCTGGCCACCATGAGCTGAGCAGTGGTCCTCCATGGTGCCCTCCTACCACGATGCTCTACTTCACCTCAGGCCCACAGCCATGGAGTCAGCCGGCCAGGAACTGAACCTGTGAAACCATGAGTTGACATAAACTCTCCCTCCTCTAAATTATTCTTGTCAGGTATTTTGGTCATACGGATGCAAAGCTGACTAACACGTACGCATTATATCACCTGGTATTTGTAATCATTCCATCAGGTAGAGACAGTCAGTTCTGCTGTTGCACTTATTTTGAAAATGTGCATTTGTTTCGTCATGATCCATGTATTAGGGAATCATCGGAGCATCATGTTAATTTTGCAATTGCTTCCGCCTGGTATCCTGGGCGAGGAACGCTAGACGGGCATAGGAAACTGTACCCAGTTAAACCGGGCTGAGTGGAAATACCCAGAAAGCACAGGTGCACACCCCTCAGAATCTACGGGCTTCCTTCCTTCATCCTGTGTTTTAGGAGACGCTGACCTGGTGCCCTGACTTTCCTTCTGATTTCAGATCCTCCTCCTCCCCTCTCTTGACAGGGACTCACAAGCTGCAGTCCTTTGATGCTCATTTCTGCAAGCAAACAAAAGGTCTTTGGCACGGTAACCCATCGTGCTTGTTGTACATGTATATGTAATTTTCACATCTTAATCATTTAGTGTGTGTAAAACCATGCTGCCATTTTTTTTTTAAAACCAGGTTCCTCTTTAAAGAAATGTTCCCCAAGAGATTTTTGAGTGGTTCCCAATCCACTGTTTCCAGAAGCCCTGTGGTTTTTGTACAGCATGGTGATTTATTTTATCTTATTTTAAAATTTCCCCCAATTTTGATAAAATATGCAGAACCTAAAATGGACCATTTTAACCATTTTTAAGAAGACGGCTTAGTGGAACTAAGTCCATTCACAGTGTTGTACCACTGACCTCGCTGTCCATCTGCAGAGTTCTCTTCGTCTTTCTGGACCGAGTACCCTTTAAACGGCAGCTCTCATTTCCTCTCCCCATTGCTCCTGGCAACCTCCATTCAACTTTCCGTCTCTCCGTGTTTGGTTCTGCTGTGCACCTCACGTCCTCAAGTTTTATCCACATTGCCGCGGGTGTCAGAATGTCCTTTTTTTTTTAAACGCTGAATAATATTTGATTGTCGGTAGAGAACCCAAATTTTGCTTCTCCCTATCCTGATGAATTTGGGGACTGCCTAAGTGGAGTGACAGCGGAACTGTACTTTTTCGATTTTGCACACAAGGAAGCTAAGGTGCCGAGTGGTTAGGTGACTCCCTCAACTGCCAGCTAATAAGTGGGACACTCAGGATTTGAACCCAGGTCTCGCTGATTCTGCAACTTGTGCTTCAAATGCTGTGCAACTCTGCTTTCTTCTTTTCATGTTATTGTCACCAATCCAAATGATGTTGACTGGGAGTCGGTTTGGTTATTAATTTCCTGTTGTTAACAGAAGCTATAGTGTCTGAAATCTCTGCTGCACCATCTGGAATTTTTAATAAAAACTTGAGGAATTTCCAGGGGTTTCTGCACATTGCATATGTGTAATAGCAAGGGGAAAACGGATGTTTAAAAACAGAAATGCCTGCAGCCACTTTTAAACTCCAGGTGGGGGTGAGGGGCTACAGAAGGAAGACGGCTCTTTTGTTTGAGAAAATGCTATCAGCAGCCTTTTTTTTTTTTTGATTATTCAAGGGCAGGCTCGCTCTCTGCCCCCACCTCGAATAATCTGGAAGGAGGAGGAGGCTCCAAATTAAATGGCTCTATAGAACAAACTAGCAGGAATTTAAGAACTGTCCACGGGCAGCTCTAAAGGGAGGGAGTCTTGAGCATCTGCAAGATGCAGGAAAAAGAGGAGATTAAAGTGAGCTGCGGTAGGGAAATTAAGTGCCTCAGAACAGGGCACCAGGCTGGGGTCCCCAGAAGAGTGATAGCCAGATGGCCCTATGAGAAATTTCCTGTGTTGGGGTGGACAAGGGACTTGAGACAGGGATTACTGTGGTATCAGTGTGCTGTGATGTGTGCAAGGATGTGTGCAAGGTCAGCAGCTCCGAGCAGGCTCAGATGGTGCTGCCTTGGTGCCCAGAGCTGGAGGCCCTGGGTTCCCGGGAAGGAGCAGGGGTAGGGAAGGAGGACGCCTGAGATGGGAAGTGCCAGGTAAGAGGGCTGGAGAGCTGGGAGGGGAGCAGGGGCTGGGAGCAGGAGGGGACTGGCAGAGTGGAGGTTAAGGAATGTTAGGGAAGTCTCTTTCTCAGGTAGCAGGGATGGAGGCTGAGGTTACTTTTGTGGATAGAAGAAGAAAGAGTGGTCCAGATCATACCGTGGGTTACCTTCTGGGAAGCTGGCTTCCTGGTCCACGTCTGGCTCTGCCTGGGCTGTTCTGCCCGCTAAGGGCGAGTGCTTCGTACAGATAAGCACAGCCGTTTCCACTTGTGGGTCTATTGTGCCCGTATCCAGGCTCCGTGGCACAGCTAGGTGCCCTTCTCAAAGTCCTCCTGTTGGATGGGACGCGTTAGTGATGATCGTTTCCCACAGGTGGCAGTAACGCGGGGCGAGGAAGGGGCTCCTGTGTCTCATGCTCGGGGCAGGTGTGTTCAGCTGCTCCACGAGCCCTGTCCTGATGCGTGTCACCTTGAGGCCACCCTACCGGTAAGTGAGGCTCAGAAAGGCTGAGAGGCCGGTGACCTCCGGTGACCTCCGAGTCACAGCTGGGAAGTGGCAGCGGCAGAACAGGAGCCTGGATTCATCGGTGTGTGGCTTCTACCTCTGTCCTGAGACAGACTGGAAGGTCTTAGATGGTCCTGTCCCCTCTGCCCCACTCGGTGAGGGCAGGGGTTTTCTGATGGAGCTCAGGCGCCTCAGGAGGGTTCCTTGAAGCACACTGCTGGGGGGGAGGGGGTGGCTGAGAATTTGCATTTCTAGCAGCTTCAAAAAACCCTCTGAAGATCACACTTGAGAAGCACTGTGTTTGGTGAGATTACCATTGTCCCCAAGTCCCATGGTGTGCCCTGCCCTACGTCCACAGCCAAGGGACCCAGGCTGGTTCGACTTTAGCATGCCACCCTCTCAGACTGGGCTTGCTTGCTGTCCCTGTCATCCTGGTCAGCTGCCTATCTGGGCCTGGCTTGGTCTGGTGCCCGGGACTCTCCCTTCCTCCTCCTGGGGACATGCCTACCTCCTATGGCCAGGGCTTCTGGTCAGTTCTAAGCCCTGAGGCTCTGGAGGGTGGGGAGGTAGGACCTTGGATCCTTGGTGGAGGACAGGTGCATGAGGCAGGGGGGCTGAGCTGTCTGAGGGACTGAATTGGCCTCGGCCGCACCCCCTCTCTGCCTACTTTACACAGCCAGCTTTTACCTCGGAGACAGACAGGTTGAAATTCCAAACAGAAAGAGAAATATCTTAATGTATCAAGTGTCTTTTGACAGTGGTTTAAAGGCCCCAGAGACAGACTGTCAAAAGCAGTCCCTGGGTATCTGGATGCATACGCCTCCACTGCTGGCGCCTGCCTCTCACCTCCACGGCTGGCAGTGGGTGTGAGTGTGTGTGTGTGTGCAGAGGGGAGAGGCGTCCTCCCTACAGGAGGAAGCTCAGACACTGGTATAAAGCTCCTGCTGGGTGGGGGGATCTGTGGGTAAGTGGGCACTGAGATTGGAGAGGCTCTCACAATCATCCCACGGGGAAGCGCTGTCTTTATCCTCCAGAATCTGGAATCTGGGGCAGAGAGCTTGAGGTCCTTGCTTGAAGTTATGCAGCTGGTGAGTGGCACTGGTGAGATTTGAACAGACACTTCACCCACGAAGGTGCAGGGGTGGCAAATAAGCTCCGAACTATTAGTCATCAGGGGTATGCATATTAAAGTCACCGTGAGCTACCACCACAGTACTGGTCCCACTAGAATGGCCAGGGTCAGGGTCCAGTGTTAAAAAACTGACTGTATCCAGTGTTGGCAAGGATGCCGAGGGCTGGAATTCCCACACACAGCGGGTGGGATGCAAAACTGTACAGCCACTTTGGAAAACAGATTGGCATTTTCTCAAAAAGTTCAACATGTACCTATCCTAGGACGGGCCATTCCATGCCCAAGTGTTTACCCAAGGAAAAAAGGAAGGGTAGATCAGTGCAAAGGCTGGTACATGCGTATTCCTAGCAGCTTTATCATGGACTCAAAATGGAAACAACTCAAATGCCCATCAATGGGTGAACTCATAAATCATGGCAAATACACTGGTACTAAACAATAAAAAGGAATGAACTCTTGATACATGCAACCACATGGGTGTGTCTCAAAATAATGCTGCCTAGTGCAAGAAGCCAGGTATGGAATGGGCACCACATGATTCCATTTATACAAAAACCTTAGAAAATACAAGCCAAACTACAATGACTGGAAGCTCATCAGTATAGCCCAGAGATGGAGGGGTGGGAGGAAGGGATTGGGCAGACCCAGAGGAAGGGATTGCAAAGGGCACAGAAAAGAGAGTACACTTTGGGGGACAGAGATTTTAATTACTTTGATGGAGGTGACGGTTTTGGGGGTGAATAGCTTGGTCCTAACTTGTCAAATGTTAAACTTTAAGTATTCATGGTTTATTGTATGTCAATTAGGCCTCAATAAAATAACCATTAATAATAATGATGATGATGATGATGTTGATGATAAAAAGAACCCAGGCAGCAGTCTGTCTGTGAGCTGGGGCTCTTACCTGTACTCTGGTATTTTGAAGCTGACTTTCAGAGCAGGCAGACGATGCGTCTGTGCTTGGTGGATGATAACGGCACCCTATTCTGTGCTGGCTACTTTAAGTAATTTAACCCTCTTTTTCAATAATCTTCAGCAATTCTTGTCTGCTTATAGCCATTAAATGATGGGATATGAAGAAGGTAAGTGACAGGCTTGAGGTCACATGGGTGGGACATGGGAGAAGGGTGGACCGCCATCCTTCACCACTTACTCAGCAAGGGCACAAGGGAACAGCAAGCCCAGTCAGCTTCCACAGGCTTTGATCATTGTCTAAGAGCCGGCCAGCTAGGACTATAGATCCCTTGTCCTCCAAACAGATTAAGCCAGATCTCTAAGGGTCCCGCCAGCTCTGGTGTGTAATGAGTTTGTGAAATTAAACGGCTCCATCCCCTGAAAGGCCAGCCACCTGGGTGGATTCCTTTGCCTGTGTTTTAGAGATAGATCTGGGTCTGCGCTTTGCCTTTCTGGTGGCCTTGAATACTTAATGCTTTAAATCTTTATTTCCTCATCTGCAAAATGGCAACAACAAGAACTAATTTACATGGCTTTCTTTCTCTCTTTCTCTCTTTCTTTCGGTACAATCAGTTAGAGGGATATAAAAGTGCTTTGGAAAATGATGGATCCTAAGAAGTTTGACTGCCTTTGTATTCCCTGGCTCCCTGTCTGCCCCAGATGGGACCTGTTTAAAAAATTGTGATAAAATATACACAACAGAAAATGTAGTATTTTAGTTCCTTTGAAGTGTGGCATCAGGGACATTTGCAACGTTGTATGCCATCACCACTATCCATTTCTAGAACTTATTTCTATCATTCCAAACAGAAATTCTATTGTACTCATTAAACACTTACTCTCCACTCCCTCACTCTGGCTCCCAGTCTCTGATAACCCCTATTTTATTTATGTTCCTATGAATTCGCCTGTTCTAGGTATCGCAGGTAAGTGAATCATGCAACGCTCAAATGGATTGGTAATCCCGCTTTAACTCCCACTGGTTTCTGGTTTGTGTGTGAGTTAGCTTTTCATTGCTGTGACAAAATACCTGAGAAAAATCAACTTAGAAGAGGAGGAAAGATTTATTTTGGCTCATGGTTTTGGTTCATGCTCAGTTGGTTTTGTTGCTTTGGGCCCAAGGCGAGACGGAACATCATGGAGGAAAGGTATGGCGGATGAAGGCTGCTCAGTTCATGCAGTTCACAGTAGCCAGGGAGGAAATAGTGATGCGGGGGAGAGAGAGAGAGGTGTTCTGGAATGAAATATACCCTTCAAAGGCATACCCCCCATGGTCTACTTTCTCCATCTGGGCCCCGCCTCCTAAAAGCTCATTCAGCTATAAACTCATCAATGGATCAACCCCTTGATTAACACTTCTGCATTGGGGACGAAGCCTTCCACACATGAACCTTCAGGAGAGGATATCCAGACCCAAACCATAACCGTTTACTTGGTTTTGGTGTTGGGGGTGGGAAGAGATGGGGCTTGGATAGATCATAGGGCCCACTGTTGCATAGCAAAAAGTGGGGTGGTGGGGAGCCCTCTGCTGGAGACAGCCTCGGGGGGTCTCAGGCTAGACTCTGCGTGTGATTTAATATGACCGGTGTTATTATAAAAGGGGGGAATTTGGACACAGAAAGAGAACACCATGTGGAGATAGAGCTTCTGCAGGCCAAGGATGGATAGCAGACCTCAGTAGTTAGGGGAGAGATTCTCCCTCCTGCTCAGAAGGAACTGTGGGCAGAGTCCTGTCTTCACTCTCTGAAGGTCTGCTCCAGGCTACAGGGA